TGGTCATTTCTGGCTTATTAGCCGTCATCAGCCAGTCATATATATATATATCGAATTTAAGCGTCTATCTTATTGAAAATGCTGATCGGCTGAAAAGTGTAAATAATGTAGGACTCGCACTGGAAGTTCAGGAGAAAGAGTTCTTCCGCTCATTTTGGAAACGAGATTTCGTGATTTCTTAATTCTAAGAAAACATAGGATATAAGACTTCATAAAGTATGGGTGCAGACAGTTCACACAAGAGCTACTCAATCAGGTCTGGCTGAGGTAATCATCAGGCCTGAGGCTCGACAATTCCACATTGGTTTATTTGCGCTTATGTAGAACTCACAGTCCGGGACAAAAAATACGAGTTCGTGTCTCCTTGGACATGAACAGAAGTACTTATGAGTTTACTTATTGACCATTTCATTAAAATGCCCACGCTATGCTTAACCTTTAGACAAAATCTTCAGAAGACAAGGAAATATTTATCCTAACTACCTGGAAAGGTTCTTGAAATTGCCTTTGCCCCAGTTCGCGGGGTGATGTCTAAAAGAGAAGTTACGTTTGATAAAATTCGCATGAAAAGAAAGGTACAGAAGAATAGGTCTAAATCACACCTCAGACAAGAATACTAATTATTATGAATATTATCTACACTTCATTGGGAATGGAGAAGGGAGGTTGACTTTTCTCTTGGAGCTATCACTCAGTCTAGGAGTCGCGTTCACTGCCCTCCAGAGGTTCCCTTTTGTAAACCCGACCAAAAATCATTTCCTATCTCTCCGCATAGTCACATAGTCATTCAAGGATCAAGGAGGGGGTAAGAAAACGGGACGTCATCTACAAGATAAAACACATACCGTCGAGGTCAGCTCATAGTAGACGCAGTCAAAGTGTCCAATTAGGTTTTTCATCAACAGATTGACGTGATAAAGCCGTATGTTGGACCCTCTGTTAGTGCCATTCTTCTTTTCGGGGGGTTCTCCGAGGTGGGCAATCGGTTGAGACTCGTCGGGTGGGCACTCTTGTGGAAGCGTTTCGTCCGTGGAACCATAGTACTTTACACAGTGTTGCCGGGCGTTCGGATTAGTGTTAATTCTGAAGGCTACTAAGGAGCGTTCAAAGATGTTTCGATTTACAGCAACCTGATACAAATACTGGAGAACTTCAACTTTGAGGTATTGTTGTAGATCGAACTTCTGTTCTAGAATCATCTTCAACATTTCATGATCCTCCCGCAGAGCTGCCTCAGTGAAGAGGAATGCCAGATCATCTAAAATGGCAACGTCGGATAAAGTAAGTTGGTTTCTTAATTCTGAACTTGCAAAATATCTGGCTTACTAAGATAGACAGACCATTGAAAGAGTCCTAAAAACCAACTACTGTGCCATTTGCTTTACGTGATCTGGTTGTTCGAATCAGTCATGAACAACTCGTCATCCAGACTCTTTGTGATAACCAATAGGGGGTACTCTATAATGAGGATTTACTATTACTCAACATGGTAGATGATGTGGCGTTGGCCAAAAGTGAGGACGCGGGAAGCTGCGTGAAAGCAATAACCTAGAAGCAGCTTAGCAACATTTGTCACATCTGACCATCACCAGATTTACGAACACAAGAGGGTGTCATCACTGCCGGGACTGTCTTTCCT